GAGTTCCTTTGACGCAGAGTCTCCATATTGGTCAAAGCTACTGTAGACCAAAGGCTGACCTCATCGTCTTGGCAGCAGAATCTGAAACCTAAAAAGCATAAGGTAAAGGCTAAGCCAGTGAGCCCGCCGATTGCTGCAGCTTCCTTCTCCACGCCTTGGTCTGAGCAGACGCTGTCCCAGCACCAAAGGCTCTAGGCAACACTGGATACCCAAAGGCCAGGCAGAAAAGCGAAGGATGCTCCTGCTCCCGAGGGGGATGCCCAAGTCTGTTTGGTAACAGCTCCTAGATGGTGTTGGGGAAGTTTAAATCGAATGTCTCTATGCGCTGCATGTTTTAGGTAGCTCTGCTTGAGGTGTTCGAAACTCAGACAGGCCCAAATGCTAAGCGGTTGCTTCTGGGCAGAGCATGGCAGTGTGAGCCTTTACTCCCAGTACTCAGGAGGCAGAGGCAAGTGAATCTCTGTGAGTGTGAGGGTAACCTGGTCTACAGAGTAAGTTCCAGGCCAGCCAGGGCTACATAGTGAGATCCTGTCTCAAAAAAAACAAAAAACAATAACAAAATCACACAGAAGGTCTATTAGGAGAGATCCATTTGGAGTTGGGGGGGGAGGGGATGGACATGATCTTATTTCATTGTTTACATAAATGATATTCTCAAAGACTAGATTTTGTCTTAAGTAAGTCCAAGGTCAATTGTCATAGGAATGCAATAGACCTCCCAAAGCTTCCAAATAACTCGACCATCTAAGTAGCTGAGCATGCATTATGCAGATGGCCTCGTTAAATACCTTCACTCCGAGGCAGCTCTGAAATGCAAAGACCAGTAGACAAGATTCCTACAGGGCACGAGGTCTGAGTTAAGGATCAGAAAACAAACAGAGGGACCACAGACGGAGCACCACAAGGACAGATGCTTTGGGCATAAGCCTGACCACCTGAGTTCAATCCCTGAACTCACTCAGATAATGGTGGAAGGAGATAACTGACTCCATGGGCACACCATGGCATGTGTGTATTCACAATTATACATCACACACACACACACACACACACACACACACACACACACACACACTAATAAATAGAATAAAGATTTTTTTTTAAAGAAAAAATGAACGATAGTGGACGGGAAGACTACACCTCTCCTTTGCATGTGTGCATGTTCACGGGCACGGGGAGGCCAGAGACACCTTTGGGTGTCATCCTCAGGGAGCTGTCCACCTCCTTTGAGACAAGGTCTTATTTCAAGGTCAAGTTTCATTGCACTGAAACTCCCCAATCAGCCAGGCCCAGGGGTCCTTCTGTGTCCGATTCCCCGTTGCCAGGGTTACAAGTCTGAACCACCAGGCCCAGCTTCTTTACGCAGGTTCTGGGGACAGAACCCGGGTCCTTGAGCTCGTGAGACTTTACCAGTTGAGTCATCTGTCTCCCCAGGCCCATGATGACATTTTTGCAAAAGCAGCTGTCCCCTGAGGCTCCTTATGTCTCATCTCTATGAACATCTAACACACTGGTAACCAAAGCAAATGATACATCCAAATAGATGCATAGCCTCCCTCTGACCCTGACCCTGACACAAAAAGGAAAAACCATTGTTCCGTGAGCATGGCAGGCTGATGGAGGGAGAATTATTCCCAGCAATGGTCTTGAAAAGATTGATGCCTTTGATATAGAGTTTACTTTTCTTTTTTGGTGTGTGTGTGTGTGTGTGTGTGTGTGTGTGTGTGTGTGTGTGTACACTTGCATGAGTTTATATGTATCACATGCATGCAGGAGCACATGCAAGCCAAAGGAGGGCTTCTAATCCCCTGGAACTGGAATTACAGACAGTTTTGAGCCACCACATGTGTGCTGCGGGGCAAGCCTGGGTCCTTCACAAGAGCAGAAAGTAAGATGGAATTTTAATTTATCCTATGTTAATAGCTCTAAAAATGATTGCTTGTAAGAATACCCATCACTATTTTGGTTTTGGAATGAAAGGAAATGTGGGAACCATCTCTGTGCTTCCCCAAGAAGAATACCTCATATAATCCATTGATAGGCTAGAGAGTAATGTATAGAGCAACAATATGGAGGCTGGAGAGATGGCTCAGAGGTTCAGAGTGCTTGCTTCCAGAGAATTTGTGTTTGCTGCTCAGAACTCATATCAAGCAGTTCACAACTGCCTGGAACTCCTGCTTCGGAGGACCTGCCACAATTATGCATGTAACCACAGATGGATACACACGATGGAAAAATAAATCTTGAAAAAGAATGCTATGGAAAGAAGTAAATGACCTGTCCTTAATCGGAAGAGAGGGTAGATCAAAAGCTGCAAGAGAGACTGAGGAGAGCAGAAAGCTCAGGAGATAAGGGAAGCCAAAGACAACGTGTTGATGAACCACGTAATAGATAAAAGAACTGTTTCAGAATATATTTTAAGACCTCCTAACGTTCAATGAACATAGTTTGAAAATAAGCAAAAATCTGAACATGCACCACAGAAGTGACATGGAGGGAAGAACTATAAATAAAAAGGTGCTCTGCGTTGCTGGTCCATTAGGGAGATGCAGATGGAAGCAGCGGTGGAATTCAGCTGCTCTCCTGTTGGAACCGCTGAAATTCAAGAACCAATGACCTCAGTTCTTGGCAGGGATGCTGAGCAGTAAGAATGCTCACTCGCCCATTGCAGCTGGGAATGAACCTTAGTACAGCCACATTGGAAGACAACAGTGTCTCAAAGCTCTTCGCATAGGACCCCACCACCAGATGCCTAAGTGTTTGCTCAGCCAATCGGAAAGCTTGAGTCTTCGTGTAGGACCCTACCTCCAGATGCCTAAGTGTATGCTCAGCCAATCGGAAAGTATCAATCAGCACAAACAACCCAAGGCAAGTCAATGTAACAATTTTGTTTGTAGCTTCCCAAACAAGAAGCTATCAATGAATTGTGCCCCATCCAAACAATGGAATACTATCGGGCAAGCCAGACAAAAAACATGAATGACTCTGGAATGTCAATTTCTCAGTAAAATTAGCCCATTGGAAAGGGGCTGCATACTCAATGATACTAGTTTTATGAGATTATGGAGAAGAAGAAAAAAGCACAGAGACATCAAATAGATAAATGGTTACCATGGCCCTGAAGGAAGCCAGTGGTTGAGTGGGGGCAGCTGTGGTGTGTTTTAAGGTGGAAGAACTATTCTGCATGACCATGTGACAATAGTTACGTGGTGCTATCCATTTATCAACACCCATAGCACTTCACAGCACAGACTGTGGGAGCCCGTTCTGGGGTTCCTCGTGGCTTTACCCAGCAGGTCCGAATAGAGGATGATCAGGGCCATGGGGCTGAGTGCAGGTGTCTGAGATGGCCTGCACTTGGCTGTGCTGGGGGAGGAGGTCTTTTGCTCCACCCCTTGGCGTCTCTATAAAAACCCTGGACCAGAGAC